TAAACTTCCAATATTCTACAAAGAACTCATTTACACTACCATCATCAGGCCCATTTGGACATACGGTACTGAGCTTTGGGGCTCTAAAAAAACATCAAATTCTTCTCGTATCCAATCCCTACAATTCAAAATCCTCCGTAAAATACTTAATGCTCGTCATTATGTAACAAATAAAATAATCCATAAAAATTTCAATATTCCTCTTGTGGAAGACTCGGCCTGAACTAGATATACCTTTTTTCATTCCTACGTCTTTGGCCACTCCAATCCTCTAGTTTGTAACCTTTCATCCAACACAATTCCTGACAATCTTCCGAGACGTCAGAAAAGAAGATGGCCAAGAGACCTCCTAAATTAATTTATCTTTGAAGTGTTCCAATGGGAAGCTTCTTCACAAATACCTTCATGTAATATATTCCTATAGTAAATTTACTGGTTGTATATATGTTTACAGTTGTAAATTTCAATAAAATAATAAAAAAAAAGAATAAGAATTTCACCCAATTATTTATTATATGGAACATACGAGAATTTTTCGTTTTTTTTTTTCAAAATTTATTATATTAATATAAGATAAAATAATTGTTCTTTTTAGTATCTATTATTTAAGTATATTTTCTTTAATATTTATTAAATAATAGTTTATAAAGCTCGCGCCCATTGATGAGTAACCAGAACTGTGAAATACATACATTTAGAACGTAGTAGCTACACTACTATAATGGGAATCCTACAAACAGGAGCGAAAATGGAAGAAATCCTCTACGATGAGGGGAAAACTGTTAAAATATTTAAAAGAAGTAGTGTTTTATCACAGAACATAAAATTGAAATAATACGTCAATGACTATTAGTAGTGGTGGATGCGGTATAAATATACTAGGAAATATAAATGGATGTGTCTTCATAAAAAAATAAATATTTAAAAATAATTATAGAAGAGCAACAGAGAATTGTTCAGCTTAAAAAAAAGGAACTTCATGAAATTCATAGATGCCTTATAATGCAGGTGTTTTTTTAAGTATGCGTACATTTTGAAAGAAATAAACCTTTCTTGTCATTCATTACAATGACTCGAATATCAACACAAGTAATAGTGCGAAATAAATTCATTCATACTACATTTGCAGATGTTATTATTAGTTTTTTTTTATTGTGTAATATAACATTCGGCCACCAGGATAAGAGCCATATAGAGGTAAGATTATATTCACATTAGAATGTAAAATAGATAGAAGCAACTGAATAATAATCAAAAAGTATGTATAATAAATAAAAATAAAATAACTTAAAGATAAGTAAAATAAAAGAAATGCAGGGGTACCAATATACACTATTTACAATCATGCGAGGGAACTTCAAGCCGGGCTTGTTCTTCCAACTATAAAGGAAAAAACATGACTCTAGGATATCTCTGCGCTACTCTCACAATCGCATCATTGGTGCTAAAGTCAGTGGAGATTGAGCGAGAACGCTTTAGCCATATACAATCATGTCTTGAGAGGAGAATATGGCCATTACCAGAACTCCAACATACATTTCTTATAAAAGGTCGCGTGACCATTGCCGTTTTAACCTTCTTGGAAGATTATAGGGATGGGTGGTGTTAGATAGGGATTGTGGAATGGCATCTTTTATAGATACAAAAAAAGGAATAAGAACTACTAAAAATAATTATTAAGAAAATTCAAATCTTGTACCGAGACATATTTTTGTACTGAACATGAATGAATTCTGAACCACCTGTAGTGGAAGTAAAATTAGGATAAATTTCAACCTTGGAGAAGAGTCATAAGGATAAATGAAGCTAAACGATATCGGTTAGACAACGATGAGTGAAGATAAGGATAATAGATAAGGAGTGTGAAAGTAAAGACCTATACAATTTGGAGAGTTCTGATGAATTAATCAGAAAGGTATTATTTTTAAAATTACATTTTTTTGGGAGGAGAGGGGAGGAAGAGGTATAAAACCATAAATTGGGTATAATAAATGAAATTTGGCCATACACTAAATTCCGTTTTTATATCTCAACGATCGATAGACGTGATATGACAATACGTAAAAGAAAGATTGGAAGTCCTAATGATGTATCCGAAATTGTTGTCACTGCTAGACTCAATTAGTCTGTTTGGAATCCTGTCTGCATCCAAATCATCCATTTACACTGGTCGCTGTCCGTTGAGGATACTCAATCGTGCATGGCTGTACAATTGCTAGTTGTAATGAAACCTGTTTAGATAGAATTCACAGGGATTCTATCTAAACATTTCGTTGGAACATTGCGATTGTGAAATCGTAGAAAATATGAAGAAAGATGCTAAATTTTAAAAATATTTTGTACTTTTATTGGATTAAATTAATTGGTAAAAACTTCAATTTGTGTGGCTTGATAAAATATATTTACATTTTTTTTTTAATTTACTAGCGAAATAATTAAGTCTTTCAGTTGACAGAATGGCTAACTCAAATTATTTTTTTTTTATTATTTTTTTTTATGGGTCCTCGCCTTTAAGGCTATACGGGGTTCTCCCGGGCCAGGGAGTGTGGGCGGATATTACCGGCACCGGGATGCGAACTCGGAACTATTTTTCATCGTTGTCTCATATGCCAGGTTTCCGGGCAACGGCGGTGCTGTGCACACTCGTTAGACCACTGTAACTCCAATTTTAACATTTTTGAGTAAAGTCATTTTAGTCATATTTCTGCTTAGAAAATTTATAATATCTCTACAGGCAGTGAGTAAGTTTATTCCACAGTACGGGAATGCTAAGATGATATCATCACAGAATCGAAAAAAAAAAGATAGCCTACAAAAATATGCCGTTTGGCATATATAACATCATTGTTTTGACATTTTGGGGAAGAAAGTCCAACGACATAATATTTTTGTGGGACACTTTTCTTTTTTTTTCTTTTTCGATTTTCTGATGATATTATCTTAAGATTCAAGTGGAAATCAAATTGGTATTTGTGAGTTTTTAGCACCTAATTAAAAAGACAAAATATGCCGATCTGAAAATTGAAAACGCCCCAATTCTGTGAATTTTCGAAAATAAAATATTTATAGGTTCCGATGACAAGAAGCTATTTCCGAAGTTTTATGTGGATGTTAAAATTGGATTAAAAGGCGTCTGTATCGCGGACTAGTTGTGTATTACTGTAATATCAGAATTAAGTTTCAGAAAGAGACAAATTTACAATTAAATCAGAGCCTTACTAATATAGCCTAAATCTTCAACGGAAATATATTATTTCATAATACCTAAAATTCGATCTCTAGAACATGTTCCGCTTTAACTCACTAAGAATTCTGATTTAAATACTCTGTAATGAAGTAAATTTTCTATAAAATTATAGGAAATATCCCATTACAAACGGAGAATATTCTAAAATAAAAGTAATTAATTGCGGCTTGATGATTGACTCATTCGGAAGGATGGTTGGGGTGATCAGTCAAAATAAAAAATAGTAAAAAAAAATAATTAAATCATAAATATGATTATTAATTTTTACTGATTATCCTAACCATCATTCTCTTCAAAAATAATTAATTTACTTTTCATACAAACAGTTAAAAGATTACGCTATATCATTACTCCATGCTTGTTTCGAAGCTTAAAACTGAGAACGCTAGATTAATAGTTGGATTAACCCTGTTCTATATGGTAACATAATCTCTCTAATCTTGAATGATGTAATAATTCTAGCTCAAGGAAAATTGGAAAAGGAAAATTACATCATTGATTAAGGAAATTACAGAACTATATAAAATCATTTTCGTATTTAAATAATTTTTACTTGCAATAGAAATTTAAGTGCATTATAGTATTAATTTCAATAGGATTTACACAAATATTAAGCTACTTTATTCCTTATGAAACTCCTTATTTCTAAACTATTACAATACAAAATTACAATAGAATATTACTCTTCTGGAGAATTTTCTGCCCCTTTTCTTCCAGAAACACAGAAATCGCTCATATTATAGTAGTATATAGTATATTTTCCCGACTATTGTTATTATAATTGATTGATAAGATTGTTATGCAACTGAAATTATGAAAAAATACATATTGGTAAAACTCTGTTTTTTCGAGGAGATTAATGGTAAAAATTGGGATTGAACATTGTTAAGTGAATATTAAAGAATTTGAATCGAGGAGCAGTTCTTTATCGTTCCAAACATAAATTCGTATGTCGAGTGTGAGCTGAAGGTTGAAAATATATTCCACAAGGAAATTCAAATATGTATCCAGAAATTGTCTTTTAACAGAGCAGTAATGAAAAGAAAAGTTATAATTTTCTTTTTTTGATTTAGATCGTATTAATTTTAAATGTTTACAGTTAGAAAATCTACATCAAACATTAATTTATACGTTAAATATTACAATTACACTCTATGTTAAATATTATTACTGTTTCTTCTACCATGCGGGGTTCTTTTATGTTTCCATTTGGAATAGGGGAGACATGTTTTATATATATATATATATATATATATATATATATATATATATATATATATATATATATATATGTATATATATTAATCATTTGTTAAAATTATTATTGAAAATCTTCAAAGGTTTTTATTTTATAGATCCTAACAAACTTTGGTTACTCTAAATATTGGATAAGAGAGATTCGTATTGCAGAATAAAAATATCTTCATGTTTGGAAAAATATAATATATAATATAAAAAATAAGAGTATTGTTAAGTAAGTAATATCTTTCGCTATTAATTACTTTTGATCATTTATAAATAAAAAATGCTTAAATTGAACTAACGTGTAACTGTTATACGTTAACAATATTAGTTTAAGTAATCTGGTGATTTATGAAAATAATTTAGTAATTGGAAACAATACCGTAATAACATATATAAAAAACCAGACAACTCATAATACCTAGAAGTATTTTAAATGTTTCAAGTCTGAATTAGTAAGGACAAATATTACATACTAAAAACTGAAACGCAATATTAAAAAAAATGTTATTTCGTCATATCTCACAAATTAAAACAATAATTAATGTTCTAATACTTTTATCTGGTTCCATGAAAAGTTAGTCATCGGGTTTTTTCCGATCTTCAGCCATGTTATGTTGGTAGGAAATAAAAGTCATCAAATATTTGTTTATAAGTTTTATTGTCTACAAAATACACAGATCATTTTTCATGAGTATTCTTCCTCACAGCAAATCAATTCTTCATGCACAGTTAAGGCATAAATCTAGTTAAGTCTTCATGAACAATCAAATGTTCTGATGAATAGAAAATTAAAAGTTAATAATAAGTATTAATTAATAATACTTATTACTAATTATAATAGCATTAATTATTAATACGTATTATTAGAATATTGAAATAAACAACGTTACATACATGAAGACGTGCAACCTCAAACGTGAAGTTTCTGGTTTACAGTTAATACTTATATTCATCACATTACGTAAGGTTGGTGCGGTAGTAATGCGCTTCATTGTCGAGAGTTTCCTTTCATTTCCCATATATTTTCAGATCTCACTACTGGTTTCTAGCAAGCTTCCAAAAATAGGGACATATTCTCTTCGTAAAGCTTACAGGAAGCGGATAATTAGAGCTATAAGTCGATGTAATTTGGCTAACTACTTTGGGCACATGAACTGTAATAATGAAAGATAATACCTTCTCTAGGGGTCTGTAGAGGGGGTTGTCGTTGCTGAAGTTCAGCTTGAAGTCACCCCATCGGGACACGGCAAGGGATTTCCACTTCGGGAGACAAGCCAACCCGTTTTCAGGATTCTTGGCGAGGTCAACAAGTATCTCTCCGGTCACTCGTGCCCTGAGGTCATTGTTGCTTACCGACATGTTCCCAAAATAGTTCAATAAGAACAGCTTCCAATGGGCTTTATACGCGAGCTCGAAAACACTCATCCGGAGCTCCATGTTCAGCAGAAACCGCGTAGTTTTAGGACCGCACCTGACACTCACTACCGAAACAGGGGTATCGTCAGCTCTCGCCGCGGAAGCGAAGTCACTCAGCGAGTAGTTGCTGGAGTATGCTAAGTAGTCGCTGAACCTGTAGTTGAAACTGTCATGAAGAACGGTGTAGTTGTTGTACGTCTCCTTGAGGGCCTTGTTTGCCTCTTTGATGACAAAGTCGATGACTTGCTTGTGCCTGGACTGGCAGAGAACAAAGCCGAAGCAGGTGAAGAGGAACGCTATTCTGACCATTTTTGCACTAAATTAGAGTCTGATCCCGTACCGTGATTGCTTTTAAATAGATCTTTTGGGTTTTATATTTTCCCGTTCTTATCAGTAACGATTAGGATCAAATAGATTTACCTGAGTTTTATAATATCTACACTAGGGATTAGTATATCTATTGCACGAGTTTTAAGCCGGTTATAATACCCTTGTTATCACGTGGCTTCAATCTGCTTATTTGACGCCTGATCCTTCTACTCAAAGTTTTGCAAAAAAATAAATAAATTGCAAGCATATGAATGGAAAATTTATACTAAAAAATTTTTTTTTGCTAACCATAAATCACAAAATCGTACTTCTTCATTTATTTGTAATCATTTTCCATCTACGTTTCAATCGAATTCATAAACATTTTTTTTTTTCACTTTGTCTTGTTTTTCGGAATCAGATTGTTAATATTATTGGTAGCTAAATTAAATCAATGTATGTGCTAAGTAAGGGTATACCAACCATATATTTATGAAACCTTTATAACGACTTATTCTAGGCAGACTTATATATTTTAATTAAGTATTAATGTGTTTTATGATTTATAATATTTGATTTAATTTAAATTTTCATATTAATTTTAATGATTATTATTATTATTATCCACTTAATTTTAAGGGTGATATGACATAATGAAAAAAAAGAACAATACTACTAAAGCAGACTGTGGCTTTTTAAAATTTAATTTAATTTTATTTGTATTTGTGCTTGTTTTAGGTGAAAATTTTGTAATATTATAAAATAAGGCTCTGTTTATTTTTTCACCATATTTATTTTAATTTTCATACCTTCATTTCATAGCTAATTTTCAACAAATTTTGATTTTAACAACACTAAAATACTAATAAGTGAAAAAAATAGCTTCAAAAGAAAAATTTTAGAATCCATTTACATTTCCAAAAAATTTAGAGACATTATATAATATCCATGCTGATACAAAAGGATTAAACAGCACATATGCCAATATAATCACAAAATTGAATTTTTAATTAAACAAATGTTTAATAATAACCCTTAATAAGTGAGCAGTATAAACAAACATATAACAACGTGCAACCTCCCAACCACACTTTTAATTTAATCAGACTTTGGGCTATATGCAAAAAGCATGGTTGTATAAAGTAAAGATGTTTTAAAATCTAAAATAATTTATATCTGCTGATCTTACTTTGATACTTATGTATTTGAATAAAAAAGGCAACCTCATTCTATCTGGTGGTACTGTTAATTTACACTTTAACTGTTAGTGTTAATTACAAAATTAAAAAAAAATTGACTTAACATAATTAGAGTTATAATTTATAGAATATTTAATTAAATAGGACCAATACCATCTTCATAGAATGTAGAATTACATTAAAATATAAAATATAAAGTGTTTATATTATAGATGGTTTACTGGCCGAAACATAACTATGAAAATTAAAATAAATATGGTGAAAAAATAAACAGAGCCTTATTTTATAATAATTTCATATGGTTATGTTCTAAGTTTCAGCCGTTACGCTATCCTTAATCATACTTTGCATATCATGGATCGATAATGCGGCACATCCAGCCTTGATAAAGTGGGCGCTCTTAATTAAATAATTAATTAGGCGGAAAATCCTTGTGGTCGAGCGTGATCCCGACCCAATCACTTTCCTGTACAACAGTTGACCTTGAGACAATACTTCCTTACAAAATAATGGATCCAAGGGCCCTTCATGGGTTGAAGCGAACATCAATATTATTTGCGATGTAATCCGAAAATATTATAATATTTCAAATAAAAGTAAATGTATAATATTTATTAAAATATTCTTCTTTCCAAGTTTACATCCGTGATGTATTATGAACTAAAGGTGATCATCCTCAACTCGAGACGGACTCCCTCTAGTTCAGTCGTGTAAATAAGAGCTAAGGAGAGAGGTGGATGAAGGGAAGGAGGCCCGTTAAAGAATGTTTGCCGGGGCGTTGATTAGATTGTCCGCCCTGCGGGAGCACCTGGAGCTGGAGCTGGAGCACACATCAGTCCTAACTGCCCACCTTCCTCAGCTCTCCAGGCCCATTATGGCACTTCCTCGGCCGATCCTTAACGAGGGGAACTCACAAGATTAAACCGATGGGACCGCCCGGCTTCCTTCTCTGTCTCTTAAATAGGGCCTTTTATAGGGAGGCGGAAGACCCTTAGAGATACAAGACCCGCGGATACTCGGAATGCAACGAGAATACCTTTTATAAAGTAAAAATATAATGTGGAAATTCAGATTGGTTTTTGCTTTTTTCCTTCCAGTTTATTTAATGTACTAAAAAGACGATAGGCCTATACCAGAAATAAGATGTGATAGGTGACAATCGAATCGGATGGCAGAGCTTAAGAGGTGGCAAAGCTCGACAAATTTCTATGTTTATATTATTCGTTTTTTTTTTTTTTTTTTCATTTTTCTATTTATTCTAGTCGAAAGTACAGACCTGGTGATCATCTTCTCTAGTCCAATGCCGATGGCGCATGAACCAAAACACTCTGTCCCCTCTTAAGATATTTTATAGTCTGTGGTAGACCATTTCATATCAAATTATTAACACCCGTCTGAAACTTCATTAATAGCTTCATATTATTGTAACCTACAACTATTTAATTTACGAAAACTCTAGGGATTTGGGCGTTTTTCAGTCAGGAGATGGACAAATTTTGTCTATTTAATCAGGCACTAAAAACTCCTAAATACCCATTTGCTTTGTCATTTGGATCGTAAGATAATTTTATCGCAAAATCGTGAAAAAAGGTGGCCTACAAAAATAATAAGCCGTGTGGCCTATATGACCTCCGTTATTTTGACATTTTACGGGCCTAGGTACGCCAACGGTCCAATATTTTCGAAGGCCAAATTTTTTCTCGATTTTGTGCTCAAATTATCTTACGATTCAAGTAGAAATTAAATGGATATTTACGAGATTTTAGTTCCCAATTAAATAGACAAAGTTTAACGATCTCGAGATTAAAAACTCCTCAATTTCCGAAAATGTTTGTTTATAAAATAGTTGTTGGTTACGATGAGGTGAAGCTATAACTTATTAAAACTACGAAAATTTTCAGAAATTGGACTGAGATTAAATTAATTAATTTAATGAGGTACTAAAAACCCATGAACACCTAACATTCCACTTGAACATTTGGTGTCCCAATGTTTTCGTATGGTAAATTTTTTTCTGGATTTTGTGATCAAATCATCTTAAGATTCTAGTGGAAAGAATGGATGTCCATGTGGTTTTAGTATTTCATTAAATTGACAATGTTTGTCCATCTCCAGATTGAAAATAACCTATTTCTGAGAATTGTCGTGAATAAAAATGTTGCAAGCTGTGGTAAAATAAAGACAATCATGACCGCGCTCTACATCCGTCACAGAAGTGACAATAAGTAAAGAGGCAAAAAAATTATGACAATGGCATTTAAATCGTCTGAGAAGAGGAAGTAGGTACGTGTATTTATTTAATCTCTGTCTAATTTTCAGTTTTGATGATTCGAAAAAGAGATTGTGGTTTAAAAAAAGATTTTTATGTCAAATAAAATATACATGTTTTTTATTGTTTTGATTTTAATGTAGTGGTTACAATAAATTGAAATCGTCATGCGTTGATAGTAATTTTGAAATATGTAATATAAAATGTATGATTTTTTATAAAATGATGTTTGTTTTTCGTTTTTATGCACTGACAATGGAAAATACTGGATCGATCTACTATCTTTTTTTTTTACAATATAGTCCATTTTATTCTTATGTTACATCGGTTTTATTTTACAAATGCAATATATATGTACAAATATATTCTTATACAACCATTTCTGCTTTTTCCCTTGTTCTGCCCCGTGGCATTTTAAGATATGAAAAGGATAAGTATCCACTGTATTCGCTACAATGATACGAGATTTTGTCGCAAAATAGTCAATACTGTCTTGAAATGGTTTTAAGAAATTAAAATACTAGATTCAAAGAGCATTAAAAAAATTTAAACGTGCTTAGAGAGTTTTATAAATATATTCAATAATGTTTAATCCTTATTTTCAGAGTGTTACCAATGGGTGGTTTCTCTACAAATGTTCTCATGTCATTGTATAAGTATTTATCACATTAGCTATATGTATATTTGTTTTTTATACAGTTGTAAATTTCATAAATAAATAAAAAAAAAATCCTTATTTTATGATGTTACAACTGTTTGGGATATCGTTAGAAATGTCACCGAAACATTGCTGTCTAAAACTTGAACTACGTTCAAATTTCTACCTCCTATGCACATTTTTAAATATTTTATTTTTAATTGATTTCTCCCAACAATTTTATTCCACGCTAAAATGGTACATTTAACTGAATCGCAATAAACTTGAATTAAGGCCAAACGAATTTTATATCATAACGGTGAAACGTCATTGAAACTTTATGCTATAATTAAAAAAATATTATAAATGATTGACATGGGTAGTCGATATATTTTACAGCATATATGCATAAATTATTATTTCTTTATTTTTTTAAAACAACAAAAAAAGTTAAACATTAAAAAGTTAAAAAAAAACTTTATATTATATTTCCTTTTTTTTACATAATAGGTTTAGCTCTGAAATTAGTCACTGGATAACGATGGAGGTAAGAGGTTATTTTGCATTTTTTCCACGTTCCACAAGTTCAAGAACTTGCTGACTTCAAACGTGAGAGTAGACTCAGTAAATCACTGGTTCCGAAGCAATCTGTCAAAAGTCAAATTAACCGAAGCTGGTTCACTGACTACCCCCAGCGGACCGCAACCTTAAATATCTCTCAAGATTGCGTATTCCCGGCACCGCAACAGCCGATGGTTTTACCCTCTTTCATTAACAGCAATTTGTACTGGTCTTTCCAGTGGAACAACGGGGCAGGATGGGGGGAAGGGAGGGGAAAGAAAAACCCGTTAAGATTTAAAACGTGCTTTGGGGAAATGATCTACTCTTATCTGGCAGCTTAAACGGCTCACGTTCTTTCCTATTCATTGGTAGCCCTGGATGGGGTCCAGTGATTTAACGCACTAACAACCTCCTAGTGCCCCTACAATGGATCGCCTATTACCCTC